TGATACGTGCGATTCCACAGGCAAACACTAGTACAATTTATAAGAATAACAATACAATAAATTATAATTTAGTACATACATACATACATAACATCACGCCTTTAACCCCGAAGGGGTAGGCAGAGGTGCACATTATGCCGCTGTACAATGTAACACCCACTTTTCACTATTTATGTTATGAGTCCCATGTAATAGGGGGTGAGCCTATTGCCATATACCGGACACAATTCCAGACTCCGTGCTACTACTGAGAATTTTTTTAAAAACCCCAGTAATACTTTGCCCAACCCGGGAATCGAACCCCTTGCCCGGCAGTCGCACTTGCGACCACTCGGCCAACGAGGCAGTATTATAATTTAGTATGTATGTAAATTGCCTATATTAATCGTCAGGAAATAATGCGATAATTAAATTTCTTCCCAAAAAGTTCTTGTTAATTTTGTACACAAAAGCTACTAAATGGCTTTAAAAATATAGGATAATCTTAATCTTCTACATCTTGAGGTACGGCATTGCAAGGCAGGCCGCCACGATTTCGGGAGCTGCGGAATAATGTGACTCCCACACCCTCGCACCCACGTGTGAGATGGGACACCGGGGTGGGTTGCAATCAGTAAGAGTCTGATAGTACCTTTCGTACTCTCCAGGCGAGGGGGCTTCATTAGGATTGCTCACCATAAGAGTCAAAAAATAGTTTAAAACTACAAGTTTCACACAATGCATATGTGAGCACCATATTGGACTTTAAGATTTTTTTTTTAATTTTAGTAAGTTATTAGTATAATGCGTCAAGCGTGTCTTTGCATTGTTCTTACATATGCGTACAGTATTGAAATATGTATCAGAGACATTGTAGAACATACTTTTTTAAAAAGAGTAACGAATGGAGTTTCTTGCTCGTTCTTCTCCATTCGAATCTACTTTTTGGAATGAGCACCTAGCTTCACCTAGTTTCACTGACGGACTGACTGACAGACTATTTGTATTTGTTGACGTTTCAAAAGTACCAAACTATGGTTTAATTGAAATAAATGCTTTGACTTTCACACTATGAAGTCTAATTCATTTCTCTTTTTAATGAACATGTCAAAACCGATTGTTTTTGCGACAGTGTGTTGCTCCCGTTTTCTTCTGTCTCACGTATTCAGAGAGTCAAATAGCGTATTTGTGTCTAAGATATTAGAAATATATGAAAATAAGGCAAGAATCAAATCAAAATGGCAGCGAGATTTTTTTTTATGGCATTAGCCGGTAAACGAGCAGACGGATCACGTGATGTTAAGCAATCGGCGTCGCCCATGGACACCTGGAACACCAGAGGCGTTACAAGTGCGTTACTGGCCTTTTGGGGAATTAGGAGTTTGAGGATCGTTGGGGATTCGGGAATTGGGGAGATTTGGGAAGGGGTACCTAATTGGGCCTCCGGTAACCTCACTCACACGACGAAACACAGCGCAAGCGTTGCTTCACGTCGGTTTTCTGTGAGGTCGTGGTATCACTCCGGTCGAGCCGGCCCATTCGTGACGAAGCATGACTCTCCCACACATAAAGTTATGTTTGAATATATATTTAAAATAAAAACACAAAATATACTGATACTTTTTTATTTAAACTTATAATTATTACGTCATTTGTCTGTTTCATTAAAATTATTATTTTAAAAAACTTACAATAAATTTTATTTTATTTAATATCACAAAACTTTCTTTACACTACATAACAATATTAAATTTATTTATTAAAAAAATATTAATATTTAAACTGAATGAAACGAAATATATCTAAAAATATTGCTTATTTAAAAGCACCGTTAATGTTATTATTTAATAACAGAAAAAAACAATTTTAATTTAACAATTATTTAAAATATAAAGTTGTTCAGCAACTGGAATGTTGCATTATAAATTAAATAAAATTATAAGTAAGTAATACTCTTTTTTATCATTTCATTTTATATCAAAATATATCCAACGACTATAATTTAATTATAGTTATAATATTTAATTTTATTACTTTGTAAGTTATATAACAATAATAACAATAAAATTATTTCTAGCAAAATGTGATTATTATTTATAGTGAAAATTTATTTTATAGACATGAATAATAAATATTTTAATGGTATTTATAAGTTATATAGTACAATGTACAATTTATAAACTCTTGAAACAGATAAAATATGATTTATAGTAATTTTAAAAACAATTTTTACTGAAATATATTTGTTTACCTATTACAGATTAAACTATAGATTTTCATGTCCAAGTAACTTTTTGAAACGTTTAGAATTTAAAATTGTACATCATTGTGATACTTCATTTATATGTAGGTACCTACATATAACATTTTATATATAACAATTTCAATCTATATTACTATATAAAAGCATCCATGATAATTATTCATAATTATACAATCATCCAAAATTTTATAATTACAACAAACTATAAAATACAACATATTATACAAACAATAATTAATGTTATAAAACACATTTTTGGTAAACAATTATAAATATACTTTTATAAATTAATCAAACTCTTCAAATAACGAAACACGATTAAAATAATTCCTAAAACAACAAAATTTTGTTCATAATTTTTAAACAATAATTTCTGCATTAAATATAATTATACAATTAAATTAAGTACCACGTGTATTTAATTCGTACATAAAGAAAAAATGTGATCAATATTTGATCTCTCTCATTTTTCGTAAATAAATATAATTCTACAATTTGTTTCGCAGTTATCGTGGTATCCCGCGAATTTTAATGAAACATGGTTACTATCTCTGTACTGAATCAATCTTCATCTCCTTGCCTGGATTCTAAATATCTAGGTTGGCTGCACATTATATATTATAATGTATAGTATGTATTATAATATAGTAAATTATGTATCACGAATGTCGTGGTGGCCCGGAGGTTTAAGACGCCCACTTCTCATGCATGAGGGTGCGGGTTCGAAACCTACCAACGGCAAGTACCAATGTGACTTTTTCCGAGTTATATGTATTTTCTAAGATAATTTAGACACCACTGACAAACGGTGAAGGAAAAACATCGTGAGGAAACCTGGACTTATAATTTCTAATTATAAGTTTGAAATCGCCAACCCGCATTGAGCAAGCGTGGTGATTAATGCTCAAACCTTCTCCGTGTGAGAAGAGGCTTTTCTCAGCAGTGGGCATTTATAGGCTGTTGATGATGATGAAATTATGTATCACACTCTTATTCTAAAATTTGTTCAATGAACAATACTGTACACACCTACTATCGCACTATATGAAATTTGTACGAAGACGACTCGAATAATATATTTAAAAACTTATATTTAAAATTTAGCAATTAAATAGTTTAATTTCTTGAAGGTTTTTTTTCCAATTATGTATATTAATTAAATACTTATATATTTTCGGGTTTTCACGTAACTATTTGACGAGGAATTCGATAAGCCACGCTAGAGGCTCATATTCATGAATCACGGCAGAGGGCGCGTTGGGCGCGCACCGTAGCAGACTCGAGTAGCCAGTCAGTAGCAGCGCGACCGTCGCCGCGGCGCGTCGTGTGTCGCGGAATGCTGCTCATGAATACGAGCCTCTAGCATGGCTTGAAACTAGTCGAGTTCCTCGTCAGACAGTTACGTGAGTAAGCCGAAAACGTAATAATTAATTTAGTATGTCTCACGAAAGTTTTTTTAATATAAATCACATTAATGTTATATGTGTGGAAGTTACGCAATCACGTCAAACCGCTGAAGGGATCGAAATGAAATTTGGAACAAGGGTACATTATGATCTGGTATACCACATAGACTTTACTACACTACTTTTCATTCCACGGGAACGCGAGAGAAACCGCTGACAGAAGCTAGTAGACAATATAGAAGCATTTGGGAGTTTGTGGCGGGCTTATCCCACTAAAAAAAAAATATAGAAGCATGCCATTGTTGTACATAGAACAAACTGCGACAAATAATTATAAACCTTCATTCCTAATGCGTTCTGCATTTCGTTCAGTATTAAAAATATAGCTCAAAAATCTTCGGATGGATGATATTAAAGTTAATGATCAATATTTCCACTGCGATCAAGCTTAAATAGCTTGATGGCTTAGTACGAATTTACGTACGAGTATGGTACTCTTATTGGGCAGTTCATTGAAGCGGGCCAATCAGAATGACTTAAGCAAGTACGAATAACTATCGCATTCGTACCGTAATAGTCTCGAGCGCGTTCAGCGCTCTCATTGGCGGGCTCTACTAAACCAACCAATTAGATTATAGCACCGAACGCGCTCGATACTATTACGGTACGAATCCAATAGTTATTCGCGCTTAGCACCCAGAGGGCTAAACGGTTTAGATTCGTACTAAGCTCTCAAATAAGATAACTCATCAGGTTAATTAATCTAGCTAGATTAAAAAAAATGTCTAAGTAATTAAGCAATTAGATTGCGTCATAAAAATATACCTAAGTTTGATATAAAAAAATAGGTATGAAAAAAGAAATTTTAAACATGGTTACATCAGTAAGAATTGCGCTATAAACATAAAAGCACGGAATATAGAATACAATTAAATAGCGAATTTTTGTTTATTAAATATCTCGTTAAAGTCAAAAATCCGTCAGATTTATTGCTACAAATGTTTGTTACGCCATAATGCAAAAACTACTGAATGGATTTTGATAAAATTTTGACTGCAGATAGACTAAAACCTGTACTAGGCCGAGAGCTAAAGAATACAATAAATGTAATAGTTACGTTGAACAAAAAATTTAACCATATCAGCCAAACGAATGAGAGCTTACAGTTTCAAAAAAAAGCACCGTATATACAAATTAGAATAAGTACATAAAAAATAATCTTAAATCACAAAACTATTAAACATACGTCCAAAAAGCGCACAACAAAACGATAAATAAAATTAAACAAGTCCAAACATACTCTATAATACTCAAAAGTATTGTTGTCTCTTTCTAAAATCTTCTGTCTCCTTCTAATGCCATTGGAAGACACAGTGGCATAACATTAAATAGCCTGAAGCTACTATTAAATGGCCTATCATGATAGGAAACCCTATTTTGAAAAATTGTAGGAAGGTGAATCGATAACCATGTTGCTCAGCCACTCCCGCGCATACTACATTTGCGCTGGCGCCGATTAAAGTGCCGTTACCTGGAAGAAAATGTTACATCTATTACAAAAAATATTAATTGTTGCATAGAACCTATCTGCCTTGTTGGCCGAGTGGTCGCAAGTACGACTGCCGGGCAAGGGGTCTCGGGTTCGATTCCCGGGTCGGGCAAAGTATTACTCTCTATCAGTAGGCTACCCTACAGACCTCAAAAGATTGAAACTAGACAAGTTATAATTTAGTTAGATAGGTTATAACATAACATAACATCACGCCTTTTATCCCCGAAGGGGTAGGCAGAAGTGCATCATTATGCCACTGTAAAATGTAACACCCACTTTTCACTATTTATGTTATGAGTCCCATGTAATAGGGGGTGAGCCTATTGCCATATACCGGACACATTTCCAGACTGCGTGCTACTACTGAGATTTTAAAAAAACTCAGTAATACTTTGCCCGACCCGGGAATCGAACCCGAGACCCCTTGCCCTGCAGTCGCACTTGCGACCACTCGTCCAATGAGGCAACGTATTTATTTTTTGCCATTCAAAAGTATTGTTATTAAATTAACTAAAAATCGTGAGTTACTCACGTGAATATACTGAGAAAAGCTCTACTAGTTTCGAACCACAGAGGGACTCTTCCTCATGAGCAGCGTGCGCGATCGCGGCGATGTCGATGTTGAGCTCACGTGAGTAACCCGCCATTTGTAGTTAATTTAGTATGTCTCACGATAGTTATTATAAAAAAAGTATTATTATTATTGTTTTTATCTATAAAATCTTACCTCCTAAACAGGCGCCAAATGACAGCGCCCATATTAAGGGAGCCATGGGCAGGTTGAGGGTGGGGTTGTTACCCAATGACGTCACCACTCGTACCATCATGGTGGTCAGCGGTATATTGTCCACGAAGGCTGAAGTTACTCCGGAGACCTGGGCACAATTGATAAAGTTAATAGAATTAAAATTATATTCAAATATTTCTTCATTGGTTTAAAATAGCGTATTGCAAAATATACGCTTTTTAGTATTTTTTTTTAAGAGGGGAAAATCATCGATACCCCTTTTTTAAGGGGGAAAATCATAGTAAATGGGGATGATGACAGGGTATGAAAATTAAAAATCTAATTAGTCCGTAAGTTAGGTAATGAAAAAATATTGGACACGTATTTTTTTATTTTGTCGTATAATAAAACAATACTTAGATAAAACGAATCAAAGTTTAGGAGTGGGGGCTAAAACGTCATTTCTCAGTATAAAATGTACTGAGAAGTGACGTCACGCGACATTTCAAATCAATATATCTTCGAAACTATTCGTTTCCGTAAGAAAATAAAAAATACGTGTCTAATGTTTTTAAATAATCTACCAGACGGACATTAAAATAAAAATTAGTCGTCTACCCCATTACTACATAAGGTTTGACTACACGTAATGACACGGAAACGTAAACAAATCATTATTGATAATGATAATCAATGATCTATAGTGGTTAACCTTACATTATTACCTAATTGGAGTTCTGTATATTTTTGACACTTCAGGCTATGTTAAAAAACTAGTTCCAAAATCTTGGATCAGCTATTAAGATATGGGTTTTTTTAAGGGGGGAAAATCATCGAATGACTGCTCCCCCCTGGGTGAGGCGGGAGGGAGTGTCAGACTCTTACTGACTAAAAACCACCCCGTTCCTTCTCCTGCACGTCGAGCCGGAGCCCCGGTTACCCGTTAGTATAGATAAGAATTTGTAAATCGCTAAGATTATATTATTGTAGTCTTTAGTGTTTTGGTGATTTCATGGCTGCGTCTACTGTAGATCCTGGTGCATAGGATAAAGAAGCGAAAAAGCAAAAGGCTCGCATCTGGTTACAGCGCAAATAAAAACATTTATATATAATAGATCCAGTCACTAAAACTGATACATACCCATAACATAAGTAGAATAGCTACTGCTAATCTCGCATTCCCATCCACTTTCAGGATGAGACTCTCTGTCAACCCTCCGATGTACTCGATGAGACCCAACTTCGACAAGGCCTGGAAAAGACAAAATCACTTTCAATACAAGTACGAGTTAGATTTTTCGGTGGTGATGTGATTCATGTGTCATGGTGGCCCGGAGGTTTAAGACGCCCACTTCTCATGCATGAGGGTGCGGGTTCGAAACCTACCAACGGCAAGTACCAATGTGACTTTTTCCGAGTTATATTTACTTTCTAAGATTATTTAGATACCACTGACAAACGGTGAAGGAAAAACATCGTGAGGAAACCTGGACTTATAATTTCTAATTATAAGTTTGAAATCGCCAACCCGCATTGAGCAAGCGTGGTGATTAATGCTCTAATCTTCTCCGTGTGAGAAGAGGCTTTGCTCAGCAGTGGGCATTTATAGGCTGTTGATGATGATGTGATTCATAGCTTTACATTTGCTTACAAAACTGAAGTAACATTACATAACATACATAACATAACATAATATCACGCCTTTTATCCTCAAAGGGCGAAGTGGTAGGCAGAGGTGCACATGACGGCACTTAATGCCATTGTACAATGTAACACTCACTTTTCACTGAGCTTATTGCCATATACCGGGCACATTTCCAGACTCCGTGCTACTACTGAGATTTTTAAAAATCCAGTAATACTTTGCGCGACCCGGGAATCGAACCCGAGACCCTTTGCCCGGCAGTCGCATTTGCGACCACTCGGCCAACGAGGCAGTCTGGCAGGCAACTAGTTTAGTGATCAGTAGTTACATTACCTCCATGAGTACGAACAGCGCGGCGAAGAAGAGCAGCGTGGACCACTCGATCCTGTGCAGTATGGGCTCCAGGTCCTCGCGGTCTGCCAGCGTCAGCAGCAGCAGCGCGCCCAGCAGCGCCGTCCAGCCCAGGGACACTCGGTCTGGGGAAAAAAAACAACGTCATCACACTGATGGACTATCTTTATATATATATATATATAATTCTGCTGTGAGTGTGTTTGTCACTGAACTTCTCTCAAACGACTGGACCGATTTTGATGAAATTTTTTGTGTGTGTTCAAGGGGATCTGGGAATGGTTTAGATTCACAAATCAGTCCGGCAGATGGCGCTGCAGCCAGTTAGTCTAGATTAGATATCCTAAACGGCTGAACTAATTTGAATGAATTTTTGTTTATACATTCAAGTGGATATGCAGGACAGCGTCTGTTGGGTCCGCTAGTATCCTATAAGAAAGAGGGGTTTGCCATAATGTTCACTATTGGTAGGCCGGTGGACATAGACTTGAAATACATTGATGTTCAATAAATAGGGATGATGACAGGGTATGAAAATTAAAAATTTAATTAGTCCGTCAGTTAGGTAAAGAAAAAATATTAGACACGTATTTTTTTATTTTGTCGTATAATAAAATGATACTTAGATAAACTCAAACTCAAAAGCATTTATTTCAATAAAACCATAATTTGGCACTTTTGAAACGTCAACAAATATGAAATAAATAATAGTCTGTCAGTCTGTCCGTCAGTGAGGCCTAGCTTCACTGACGGACAGACTGACAGACTATTTCGTCCTCATTCCACTGCCTCGTTGGCAGAGTTGTCGCAAGTGCGACTGCCGGGCAAGGGGTCTCGGGTTCGATTCCCGGGTCGGGCAAAGTATTACTGGGTTTTTTAAAAAAATCTCAGTAGTAGCACGGAGTCTGGAAATGTGCCCGGTATATGGCAATAGGCTCACCCCCTATTACATGGGACTCATAACATAAATAGTGAAAAGTGGGTGTTACTTCTATGTACACCTCTGCCTACCCCTTCGGGGATAAAAGGCGTGATGTTATGTTATGTTATGTTATGTTGTCCAAAATGTCGATTCGAGTGGAGAAGAACGAACAAGAAACTCCATTCGTTACTCTGTTAAAAACCTCTTTTAAAACGAACCAAAGTTTAGGAGTGGGGGTAAAACGTCATTTCTACATAAAAAATGTACATAGAAGTGACGTCACGCTACATTTCAAATCAATATATCGTCGAAAGTATTCGTTTCTATAAAAAAAAACGTGTCTAATGATTTAAAATAATCTACCAGACGGACATTAAAATAAAAATTAGGCATCTACCCTATTCTAATTATGTAATAATATAATTATGTTGCTATAATGTTTGTACAATTTATTGTATAAAATAATACTTCACAAATTATACTTACTGAACTCGGGCAGTGAATGCAGGAAGAACACGGTGACTACAAATGCGATGGCCACTGTACACTTCACCAGTAATACTTTGTCTCGGATCTTGTACTGCAAGTTAAAATATTCAGGGTTTAATTCTCTACACCAAAGCTAAGGAGGAGGTGGGACGCGTGAGGCTGCCTCCTCGCAACCCAGCCATCGCGAAGGACACACCGGGCGTCGGGGATCGCGGGACGATCTCCGGCCACCGTAAGCGCGGGCCGGAGGACGGCGAGCATGGGTGGCTCCCCGTCCGACCAGAAACAGACCCGAGCGTACGGCGCCGAGCGTTCCGCGCGCGCCTCAAAGAGCCATCAGACCACCACAGATGGGACCCAGGGCCGATGCCGACTCGGAGTCGCGGAGAACCTAACGGGTAACCGGGGCTCCGGCTCGACGTGCAGAAGGAACGGGGTGTTTTTTAGTCAGTGAGAGTCTGAAACTCCCTCCCGCCTCACCCAGGCGGGAGAAGTCATTCGATGATTTTCCCCCCTTAAAAAAAAAGTCTCTACAGCATTAGCTACCTAAGGGATATAACAGGTATAAGTTTAGTATGTGCATACGCTCATAATCTCCGTTCACTCACTCTCATATTGAGTGTGATGATATCAAGACATTAGACGGTAGAGGAGGAGGTATTAGACATAGAATAGTAGAATCAACATGTTTCTTCTATGAACAAGCATCTACAGTAAGTGTGGGAGAGCCATGCTTCGGCAAGAATGGGCCGGCTCGACCGGAGTGATACCACAGCCTCACAGAAAACCGACGTGTAGCAACGCTTGCGTTGTGTGAGTGTGGTTACCGGAGGCCCAATTACCCTCCCCTTCCCCAATCTCTCCAATCCCTGAATCCCCAACGATCCTCAAACTTCTAAACCCCAAAAGGCTGGTAACGCACTTGTAACGCCTCTGGTGTTCCAGGTGTCCATGGGCAACGCCGAATGCTTACCATCAGGTGATCCGTCTGATCGTTTACCGGCTTATGCCATAAAAAAAACAGGAAAATACGCTGAAATATTCAAGCATCACTCAATTTTAAGTCGTGGTTAAATATAGTTTTTAAATTGGACAACACGTTTAGTGCGGTGGCTGGGCAACCGGCTGCCACGCAGAGTGTTGTGGGTTCGATTCCCGGACGGAGCAACTCTTTGTTTGTGTGATCCACAAAATGTTGTTCCGGGTCTAGGTGTCATGTGTATGTGAACTTGTATATTTGTAAATGCACCCACGATACAGGAGAAATATCTAGTGTGTGGAAAGATTAAAAAAAAAAGTTCTGTCACTACAGATTATTTGTAAAACGACACAAATGGCACGATATTTAATTACAACTTCAAATTGAGTAAGCCTTCCAGTATTCGGGCGTAAGAATATGATCATATTCAAGTGCTAGAACTTTCGTGGGAAGCTATGTTGTAACACTAATGATACACGGCTGCACGGTTGGTGCAGTATCTGGGCAACCGACTGCCGCGGAACGTGACGCTACTCGTTCGATTCCCGCAGGGTGTAACTCTTTGTGTGATCCAGATATAGTTGTTTCGTGTCTAGACGTCATGTGTATGAGAATGCATTCACAATACAGGAGGAAATCGTAGTGTGGTGCAACGTTAACATAATGAACAAAAAAAGGACTGGTTTGACTGTAGAGAGTCCATGGCTTCATAGGAAACCGGTATGAAATAAAACTATTGTCAAGTTTCGCCTTGTCTCCACGAACAGCGCTGATCGCTTACCTATTTTTAACTGTATATTCCTAAAAAGTCTAGTTTTCCTACCTTATCCTTCATATCAGCCAGCATGGTCTCGAAGCACTCCTTAGGACAGGCTCTGATCTTGGTCTCCTTGACCAAGGCCTCCAGCCTGCCTGTCAGCTTCCGAACTTTGCGATCCAGCCGTTCCCTGACCACCAGCTCATCTCTGCTTAGATGAGGAAGAGAATCAGCTGCTCGCCGCCATATTGAAATCTGATGACGGAGATCTGAAAAGAATGAGAGAAATACTGTTGAGAAGGTTCTTAATGGGTAATTACAATCCTTTAAGCGGTGGTAGTATCCATCATTCCTGACCGATTCGACTAAGGAACCAAACCTAACTGTGCTCAAGTTATCGGCCTTTCAATTTATTCTATAAAAATTCCAGATCTCGGTCTATTGTCCCTTTTATATTTAACCTATAACCCTGTATAGTTCACAGAGGGGGTCCAATAAGGCTGATGCCGATACGGAGCCGCGGAAAACGTAAAAGGCTACCGGGGTTCCGGCTCTAAGTGCAGGAGTAAGGACGGGGTTGTTTTTAGTCAGTAAAGTAATAGTCTGACCCTGAGACTGGAGGGACCTGTCTCACCCAGGCTGGATAAGTCATTCGATGATATTCCCCTCTTGAAAAAAATCCTGTGTAGTTAAGTATTAAGTACTAATAAATAAATAAGACGTACCTTGAATATCCCGGGGCTCATTAAGCCTCAGTTTGTCAGTGTCTCTGTAGATGAACCTGAATTGGAAGTATGTCTGCACGCACACCAGCAGAATACCGAAGGTCATATGCAGCGTGAAGTTGGTGAAGTTTATACCCTGATGATGAGAGGGGATATCATTAACGGGAGAATACACGTAACTATATGTAGTTATCATATTACATTTAAGTATACATTTATTACATAGTGTTAACGCCGCGACCAAGCGACGACGTCACCGCGGGGACCGGGGAAGGGGAGCCGCGACGAACAAAGGGCGTTTACTTATTGAAGATAAACATTACCATAAACACATAGTATTGCCCATTTTTCATATCATTTTAGTACGTATTATATGTAGTCTATAAGTTTTATTGATTGTTTAATTTGTTTTTCTTCTATTTTAGTTTTTTTTTATTGTGCATCAACCGCCCATTCCCAGATTTAAAAAAAAAGCCATCCAAAGGTTGTCTGGAAAAAAAATCGCCGCGTGTGATAAGACCGCCCATTGTGTTCAAATTACTATTGCAATATTTACAGTTATTTCCGTGTGTGCAATAAAGTATAAATAAAAAACGAGGGTTCATTGTCATTATTATCATATCAGTGTCAAGACGCACACAGCTGAGCATATGACTCCTCGAATAATTTCCAAATTGGTTTCCAAATTTCGTACCCGGAAGTGACATAGGTTGATGTCACAAAAATCGGCTGTAAAGTTTGCGGTTGCTGTGTGACGGGCTGCTATGTAACGTGTCACGGGTTTTACTCCATCATAAGACAATTGTTGAACGTAGGATTTAAAAAAAATCTCAGCTGAGTACTTAGCTCATTCTCTATAACACAACTACAACACTCCTTCGTCGCACTTGACCAAACGACGTTCATATTTTCTTTGTCATAAATTATTCTGATTTAGTTTCTTTATAATCCAAAACTTGTGACTGCCGGGCAAGAGGTCTCGGTTTCGATTCCGGGCAAATTATTATTGGGTTTTTAAAAAAATATCTCATTTGCAGCACGGAGTCTGGAATTGTGCCCGGTATATGGCAATAGGCTTACCCCCTATTACATGGGGCTCATATCTTAAATAGTGATAAGTGGGTGTTACATTGTACAGTGGCATAATAAGCACCTCTGTCTACCCCTCCGGGGATAAAAGGAGTAATGTTATGTTATGGTATAATCCAAAACGAAAGCGAATTCAACCATAAAAAAGGTAAGTTAAAACTTACAGACTGAACGACAGCTTTATTGGACGCGATGATGACATTCGGGGGGTCACCGACCGGAGTCACAGTGCCGCCAATATTACTGAACAACACCATTGACATGAGCACTGGTATGGGGTCCAAATCCATGACTTCACATAATCTGAAATATAAGAGAAACATGATACAAGGCATGAAAACATGTATTTACTTCGTCAGTTAGATAGTGGAAAAAATACTTAGATAAAACAAATACTTAGATAAAACGACTCAAAGTTTAGGAGTTGGAAGCTAAAACGTCATTTTTAAGTATAAAACGGCCTTAGAAGTGACGTCACGCGACATTGCAAATCAATATTATTATTTACAGTCGTGTTTGTCGTGTCTGCCGTGTTTGTTTTGTCGTATTTGTCGTGTCGGTCGTGTCGGTTGCGTCGGTCGTGTCGGTCGCGTCGGTCGCGTTTATCAGTGTTATCGTGTCGGTCGTATTTGTCGTGTTGGTCGTATTTGTCGTGTTGGTTGTATTTGTCGTGTCGGTCGTATTTGTCGTGTCGGCCGTATCTGTCGTATTTGTCGTGTCGGTCGTATTTGTCGTGTCGGTCGTGTGGGTCGTATTTTTCGTGTCGGTCGTGTTTGTCGTGTCGGTCGTGTTTGTCGTGTCGGTCGTGTTTGTCGTATTTGTCGTGTCGGTCGCATTTGTCGTGTCGGTCGTATCTGTCGTATTTGTCGTGTCGGTCACATTTGTCGTGCCGGTCGTATCTGTCGTATTTGTCGTTTCGGTCGCATTTGTCGTGTCGGTCGTATCTGTCGTATCTGTCGTATTTGTCGTTTCGGTCGCATTTGTCGTGTCGGTCGTATCTGTCGTATCTGTCGTATTTGTCATGTCGGTCGCATTTGTCGTGTCGGTCGTATTTGTCGTGTCGGTCGCATTTGTCGTGTCGGTCGTATTTGTCGTGTCGGTCGTATCTGTCGTATTTGTCGTGTCGGTCGTGTTTGTCGTGTCGGTCGTATCTGTCGTATCTGTCGTATTTGTCGTTTCGGTCGCATTTGTCGTGTCGGTCGTATCTGTCGTATCTGTCGTATTTGTCGTGTCGGTCGCATTTGTCGTGTCGGTCGTATTTGTCGTGTCGGTCGTATCTGTCGTATTTGTCGTGTCGGTCGCATTTGTCGTGTCGGTCGTATTTGTCGTGTCGGTCGTATCTGTCGTATTTGTCGTGTCGGTCGCATTTGTCGTGTCGGTCGTATTTGTCGTGTCGGTCGTATCTGTCGTATTTGTCGTGTCGGTCGTGTTTGTCGTGTCGGTCGTGTTTGTCGTGCTTGATGAAAATAATTGCACCTAGATACATAATTATGTCATAAAATGGCGTCTAGCCAAAGCGGGTCAGCCTTCAAAGAAGGAGAATTTAATCAATCATCAGATTTGATTTGACTCTATTTGAATTTGAGGTCTACCGATTGTACCTCAATGGCTATATCCCCATTCCGTAATTTTGAGTGCACGGTTGGCGCGGTGGATGGACTACTGCACTAGCACGGAGCAACTCTTTGTGTGATGTATAAATTGTTCTTCCGGTTCTGGTTGTGATATGTACATGTACATGAACTTGTATGTTTGTAAACGCACCCACGGCACAGGCGAAAATCCTAGTGTGGGGCAAATTTTAAACTTTTCCTGACTCGACTCCCTGAGAATCCTCGAGGATCCGATACCTCGACTAATGAGGTAGGTTATTTTATTGTAAGAACTACTCAGTACTCAGACTGCCTCGCTAGCCGAGTGGTCGCAAGTGCGACTGCCGGGCAGGGGGTCTCGGGTTCGATTCCCGGGTCGGGCAAAGTATTACTGGGTTTTAAAAAAATCTGACTAGTAGCACGGAGTCTGGAATTGTGCCCGGTATATGGCAATAGGCTCACCCCCTATTACATGGGACTCATAACATAAATAGTGAAAAGTGGGTGTTACACTGTACAGTGGTATAATGTGCACCTCTGCCTACCCCTTCGGGGATAAAAGGCGTGATGTTATGTTATGTTAACTACTCAGTACTCACCTAATTGTGACTGGTGTCATAAGCAGTACGGTCGTCACGTTGTCCAGAAATGTGGATATGATTGCTGTGATCGCACTTAGCAGAGTTATCAATGGCCAGATCTTGCCTTTAGTGACCTGTAAAAGAGAAAAGATAGATTTAATATCGAAATCAAAATGTCAGAATTAGATAATGTTAAATGCTATTTCTTTTTTATGATCTTTATTAGATTTTGAAATTAGTATTGAGTTTTTGAGTGCCTCGTTGGCCGAGCATTTTCAAAAAATCTCAGTAGTAACACGGAGTCTGGAATTGTGCCCGGTATATGGCAATAGGCTCACCCCCTATTACATGGAACTCAGAACATAAATAGTGAAAAGTGGGTGTTACATTGTACAGTGGCATTAAGTGCCGTAATGTACACCTCTGCCTACCCCTTCGGGGATAAAAGGCGTGATGTTATGTTATGTTATTGAGTTTTTCTATATTGGAACAAGTCTTTTTGCGTTTTAAAGAGTAGTTCCAGTGTGGACTTATAGAAATTTGTTTAAAATTCAATCGTCACTGTGGCATATATTTCAGGGAACTCCTCAAAAATCGACGGCATACGGTTTGTGGTAAAGTTTGAATGACACCTGCTTATTTTACTAACGCCCCAATACTAAAACGTCACTGAATTTTAAGACGCGCTAAATTATAGTTCTGTACAAATACTTTGTAAAATGACAGACATGGCACGATATTTAAGTACTACTTACAAATTACAATAGGGTAGATGACTAAGTTTTATTTTAATGTCCGTCTAGTAGAGTATTTTAAAACATTACACACGTATTTTTTATTTTTTCACAGAAAATAATTCTTTTGACGATATATTTTGATTTGAAATGTTGCGTGATGTCACTTCTATGTGCATTTTATACGTAGAAATGACGTTTTAGCCCCCACTCCTAAACTTTGATTCGTTTTAACTAAGTATCATTTTATTATACCTACAACAAAATAAAAAAGTACGTGTCTAATATTTTTTCATTACCTAACTGACGGACTAATTCAATTTTTAATTTTTATACCGTCATCATCCCTTTTAGTAGCCTTTCAGTATTCGGGTGTGTCAAGTTAATATCTGATATTAAACAATACTAGACAATTTCCACCATCTCATTTCAAAACTAGAATCCAATCAGACGGACACACACTGCCCTAGTTAGATAAAGGTAAATTTTAATTACCACAACATTGTAGGCGTCAATCAGTGCTCACATATCAAGTATATTAAGAGTTATCATTAAGTACTTTAGGAATACTTGGTGAATCACACGTGTGCCAACAGATGATAAGTCGCGTGCAAACTGTTTGTATTGTGCCACAATGGCTGGTGAGTTGGCATTGCGTACGTCTTGTAATAACATCGTTATATATCATGTCTTTTATAGGTACCCTAAAGATATAAGACAGAGGTGCTCAATGTTCATATTAACGGTTGTAATTTAAAATTTTCACTGCCTCGTTGACTGAGTGATCGCAAGTGCGACTGCCAGGCAATGGGTCTCGGGTCGGGCAAAGGTTTACTAGTTTTTTTTTAATACTCAGTAGAACTGCACTTTTTAGTACCCAGGAGTAAAATATATAAATCCGAATCTAAAATGTTTGGAATGAGCCAATAGCTTCACTTTTAAATTTCCGTTGCTGACGTTCAAAAGTGCCTTCCTGGTCTAATTGAAATAAATGATTTTAACTTTGACTTTGACTTTAAAGGTTTTTCAAAAACCCTTGATCAGACTAAAGGTTATTGAATAATATCGGTTTTAAATTACATAACATAACATTATACCCGAAGGGGACCCCAGAGGTGCACATTACTGCACTTAATGCCACTGTACAATGTAACACCCACTTTTCACTATTTATGTTATGAGTCCCATGTAAAAGGGGGTGAGTCTATTGCCATATACCGGGCACATTTCCAGACTCCGTGCTACTACTGAGATTTTTTTTAAACTCAGTAATAGTTTGCCCGATTCGGGAATCGAAACCGCGACCCCTTGCCCGGCAGTCGCACTTGCGACCACTCGGCCAACGAGGCAGTTATTTATGAACATATAGGTTTAATTATGAACATATAGGTTGTTATATTATGACGCTACTAATGAACTAATGAAACACAGAATGACGTTTCGTCGCACGTGATTGCACTTCAAAGGAGATAAAGCCAGCATTCATTGACGACTGATTGCATGCTTATCTGCATAGAATACAATATATATGTTCTTGTTATTTATTGCTTAACACATAATATAAAGGAATCAATTGAAATGTGGGTGTTGTGTTCAATATGAGCATTGTTGTACACTTCGGGGATTCAAAGGCGTGTTTTATAATAATAAGAAGGTTTGGTATCACAGTAAATTTTCCATTTTATGTAGTAACCGTTTGGCTGGTGATAGAATAGTGTTGAAGGCTAACGTAAGCGTCAGTAATTTTTAACTGAGTACAATAACAAAAACAGTGTCGTTCTCTGTTCGACCTATACATTAGTGTCTGTATGGGGGGCATCAAAAGAAGGTATAAGAACAAGAGTATATACATACGTACATACATCAACAGCCCATAAGTACCCATTGCTGAGCAAAGCCTCTTCTCGCACGGAGAAGCTTTGAGCTTAATGCTCACTACGCGTGCTCAATGCGGGTTGGCGATTTCAAATTTACAATTTGAAATTATAAGTTCAGGTTTCCTCACAATGTGTTTCTTCACCGTTTGTCAGTGGTGTCTAAATAATCTTAGAAAGTACACATAACTCGGAAAGTCACATTGGTGCTTGCTGTTGGTAGGTTTCGAACTTGCACCCTCATGCATGAGAAGCGGGCGTCTTAAGCCTTCGAGCCACCACAACGACATAATGACACGACGAACAAGAGTGATCTCATCTTACTCGGGTAAGATGTCTAGTCGCAAAAGGCTAGTTTTTTTATGGCATTAGCCGGTAAACGAGCAGACGGATAACCTGATGGTAAGCAATCGGCGTCGCCCATGGACACCTGGAACACCAGAGGCGTTACAAGTGCGTTACCGGCCTTTTGGGGATGAGGAGTTTGAGAATCATTGGGGATTCAGGAATTGGGGAGATTGGGGAAGGGGAGGGTAATTGGGTCTCCGGTAACCTAACTCACACGACGAAACACGACGCAAGCGTTGCTTCACGTCGGTTTTCTGTGAGGCCGTGGTATCACTCCGGTCGAGCCGGCCAATTCGTGCCGAAGCATGGCTTTTCCACACTTACTGTAGATGCTCGTACATAGAAGAAACATGTTGAACCTACTATTCTATGTCTAATACCTCCTCCTCTACCGTCTAATGTCTTGATGATCTCATCACACTCAATATGGGAGTGAATGAACAGAGTGTATGAGCGTATGCACATACTAAACTTATAGCTTTTCTGTGAGGCCGTGTATCACTCCGGTCGAGCCGGCCCATTCATGCCGAAGCATGGCTCTCCCACACTTAAAAAATTGGCTCCAACAACAGAAATATTATGAAAATCTGTCGAACCACTCGAGCAATTAGCAGTGGAACTTACTAGTCGGCACTATTTGCACAGATAACTTCATTATATCTTTGTATGTTGTGATAACGCCTCCTCGTCTTATCTCAGCACTTCTAGAGATAGTTTGAGATAACTGTGAAGATCAGGGCAATCTCTGCACTATGTTTATTTATCATTATGTTAGTAGAAAATGTTACAGCTGAGAGCTTGGTTTTAGCATTGGTCTCTTTTTCTATATTTTTTACACAATTCTTCTTTTTGCCTGCCTCATTGGCCAAGTGGTCGCAAGTACGACTGCCGGGCAAGGGGTCTCGGGTTCGATTCCCGGGTCGGGCAAAGTATTACTGGGTTTTAAAAAAATCCCAGTAGTAGCACGGAGTCTGGAATAGTGCATGGTATATGGCAATAGGCTCACCCCCTATTACATGGGACTCACAATATGAATAGTGAAAAGTGGGTGTTACTTCTGTGTGTACCTCTGCCTACCCCTTCGGGGATAAAAGGCGGATGTTATATTATGTTCTAAAATTCATATTCTACGCAAACGAAGTCACAGGTAATAGCTAGGAAGACCTATGATAGATGTCTAAAAGCCAACGTACCTCAAAAGTGAAAACAGCTAAAAAGTCGAATAGTCCAGTTTCCGCCATGATGGCGACCAGCAGCATCATACTGAAGAGTAGGAGTAGAGTCTCCACGTCTAACCAGGAGATCAGCTCAGGTAATGTGGGCCTTTCACCAGCTATGGATAAAGCTGCTAATGATGTAGTGGAGATCAGAACTGCTGCCATCGTCCTGTTTATAATCTGGAAGATTGAAGATTAAGTTTTAATATTTTAGGAGATACGACTGTGATTTCTAGGTAAAGTAAAGAATGAGTGTACCTAAAATATAATACACACTAATGTTCAAATACTCAAGCACTACTTCATTTAAAGAAGCTCTCAAAAATAGTTCTGCCGTTGCAATTTTTTTGTATAATGAAATTGAATAAAAATAGAATGATATCTATCAAAATTAAAAATTTAATTAGTCCGTCAGTTACATCATGAAACAATATTAGACACGTATTTTTTTATTTTCTCGTATTAAGTTGCAATATTTAGATAAAATGGTGCTAAGTTTAGGAGTGGGAGGTCGTTACGTCATAACGTGCTACAAAATGTGACACGCTGTGACGTCATAGTATGACGTCACAGCGTGTCATATAGTATTACTATATTTCAAATTAATATATCTTCGAAAGTATTTAATATTGTGAGAAAAGAAAAAATACGTGTCTAAAGTTTGAAATTAATCTACCAGACGGACATTAAAATAAAATTTAGGAAACTACCCTATTAAGTTGTGGTTCTGTATTCGGGCGTAGCTGTAGGTTTCACAAAGTGAAAATTTGAATAATAAAATCTAGTCATAGGTCTTTGGTATTTAGATTTATTTAGATTTAACACCTTACCTAGGTTAGCAAAGTCAAGTTGTCTGATATTTGAATCAACAAGTAAAAGTTTTTGGCTCAGGATTAGAGCATGACTCTTTATGACTAGTATTTTAATCTATATTTATCGAGTATTTTTCTCATTACAAAACATATAAAAACTGTTTCAAGAATAAAATCCACGCGTTAATTATACCCAAAGCATTATCTAAATGACCTTGGAACATATAAAAGAAAAAAAATATTTGCAAAAATTGTCTAACCTCAAAAATAATGAGCACATACAGGGCTCCCAGTAGTACACACGCGTAGATGACCCCAGTAGAGATATCCAGGGGGTCCATTGTATAACTTAACGCGAAGGGGGTCGTTGTATTCACATTGGTCTTCATTTTCAAAAAATAACTCGCGTTTGGTCCAGAACTCTCATCCATTTTGAGAACTGTGATTCTCGTTTCACCTTCCGTGAAGTCTATTTCATCTTCTGGATCCAATATGATTGTCCAGCGAGGAGACTGAAGGGAAAAGTAATTTTATTAACATTATAAATGATTATAAATAAGAAAATTTGTAAGTTTAATATGTTTGTTACTGAATCACGTCAAAGCGGCTTAAGAGATCAGGATGAAGTTTGAACCAGGGGTAGATTTTTTTGTGTGATAAGCCGTTGAACGATCAGACGGAACACCTCATGGATGGATATCCGAAATACGAAAGGTATTTCAAGTGCCTTGCCGGCCTTTTGGCGATTTGGAATTTTTGGGCATTCGGGGAATCCTGACATCATGACAAAGATATCTGACTTACCCGATTAATTTCGTTCTTCGAAGCAGTTGGAGCACTTTCAACCCAAACTTCCATTTTGCCCATGGACATAAGTTGACTGGAATTGAATTTTTTCTCATTTTGTTCTGATACAAAAGGTCCTGTAAGCTTTAGAGATACTGACAGGAGGTCCTGTGCCGTGTGTAGAGGATAACCTGGAGAATAGAAGAATATAGGCTTTAATATGTTATTGAATATAGTCATCATCATAAACAGCCTACAAGTGCCCACTACTGATCAAAGCCTCTTCTCACACGTAGAAGGTTTGAGCATTAATCACCAGGTTCTTCATCTTATGCGTAAAATCAACTGGACTGGTTCTCGAAAACAGCGGTGGGTCAGCGGCACGGGGGCAGGCAACGAGCGGTGCACTCCAGTCAAGCAGTGCACACAATAGTGTCTCATATCGGTGCATTCAAGAGATAAAGAAAGGTTATTGATTTCGGTCAATCTGGAAGTCATTGGAGTAGGCCTATGTTCTGCAGTGGACGTCTCACGGCTGATATGATGATGACGATGACGATGTTAATGATGAGTCGGCTGATACCACGCCTGTGGGAAGTGTAGGAGTGGGTATACTCTACTGTTTTTTTAAGGGGGGAAATTCCTCGAATGACTGCTCTCGCCTGGCCTAGGCGGGAGGGAGTGTCAGACTCTTACTGACTAAATACCACCCTGTTCATACTCTTACCCTTGGAACCGGAGCTATACTTTACTTTACAGTAAGTAGGAGACGTTAAGAACAATTTTAGATAATAATGGTGTTATATACACAAATGAATCACGATACAAGATAATCTATACCAATATTATTGCTAAGAAGTTTGTTGTTTGTCCATGCTAATCTCTTAAACGAGGGCAAACCGGTTAGGTATTTAAATTTGCAAACTTAATCGCGTAACGCAATAAAAAATCACGTGTTTTTCAAAGACTAGAGTTTGTTAGATGGATTTTTGGAAAAAACCAAATTGATACCATTGCAGTGATTCTTTGGATACCCATGGCAGTCACGTTTGTAATCACTCGACCAGTCGATAGCGTCTCTTAGGATAGTATTTATTGGTAACTTTTTACCCTAAAAATCCCTATGATCCTTGCCGAAAAATCCTAGTTATATAAAAATAAAGGTGCTAATGACCTATTCTCAAATCTCCAAAAAGTAAAGGCATTTAAGTAACTGCTTTTGTGTTGCGACTTTGCGAGTATCCATGGTGTCAATTGCTTACCATCAGGTGATCCATCTACTCGTCTGCCGTCCTATAAAAAATACTTACTCTTAATTTCTCCAGGTGCCACAGAAGAATGCCTGGTGACTTCCTCCTTCTCATTGTACATGAGGAAGACGATGGTAAAGAACATCCAACAGGCTACCAGCATTGTCATCTTCACCAAGTGTCCAGCTCGAGCGGTCTGGTGACAAAATATCAGCATTATTATCATTATCATTCAAGTGTGGGAGAGCCATGCTTCGGCACGAATGGGCCGGCTCGACCGGAGTCCTCACAGAAAATCGACGTGAAGCAACGTTGTGTTGTGTTTCGTCGTGTGAGTGAGGTTGCCGGAGGCCCAATTGTCTTCCCCTTCCCCAATCTCCCCAATCCCTGAATCCCCAACGATCCTCAAACTCCTAATCCCCAAAATGCCGGTTACGCACTTGTAATGCCTCTGATGTTCCAGGTGTCCATGGGCGACGCCGATTGCTTACCATCAGGTGATCCATATGCTCGTTTACCGGCTTATGCCATAAAAAAATCCGCTAGAACACGTTGCTATTTATGGGCAAAATAATTTGTTTTAAATTTTGTGTACTGTCTTTCAAAGAGAGAAAAATGGAGTTTCATGGACAGAGTGGTAGACAGATCTCATCTCTGCTGGTGATCAGACCTGCGTCTTAAAGAAAACTCTCATGAAACTACATTTGCGTTGTACTCCTCACGGCCAGAAGAGACGATTTTGTAACTCTTATGTGTTTCGGGACTCCTAGCCAGTATTGTTAGTTTACTATAAGAGGATTCTTCGCGTAGTTTGCGGTTTTATTGCATAAAAAAAGAGTAAGGAACAGTCTTACCTTTGTAGGCTTCTTCGGTTCGGGAACTTCTTCAAGTCTGAGGACAAAGTAAGAAGGAATTAATATTCATCATCATCATCACCATCATCAACAGCTCCTTACTATCCACCGTTAGACCATGGGTTTTCTTTACATTTGGCCTGCCAGGTTTATCACAATCACAATACTGAGTAAGTCAATTAAAAACAGCAGTTTTAAGGAGTTCATGTTTATCAGGGAGTGCTGAAAGTTTAGTCGTCTCTTAAGACATTCCCAGAATGAATAGGACTGCTGTCACCATTTTATAGAATAATCTGGTAAACAAGCAGACGGATCACCTGATTGTAAGCTATTGGCGCCGCCCATGGACACCCGAAGCACCAGCGGTGTTAAGGGGCGTCACCGGCCTTTTGGGGATTAGGAATTTGAGGATTGTTGGGGATTGGGGAGATTGGGGAGAGAGGTAATTAGACCTCTATAGGTCAATATGCGGATTCTGAGGTCCAATATCCCACTTACGTCTGATAACTGTCTTGAAACTCCTCTGGTATTACGGTTACCCTTAAGAGGCGCGCTGTTTGCTTGCTTACCATCAGGAGATCACCTCACATAAACAATCTTATTACTAGATATACTCACATCTTCTCCTTCTTTTCATCAATAGAAGGACACTTATTGTTGGTATTAAGGAATACGACCTCATCCCTTGGAAGTTGCAGGTTGTTATTGAGATGAGGTGCTGAGTTGACCAGGGGGAGGCGTTTCGTGGAGCCGTTCTTGGTTTTACGGGGCACGCCATTGCCTCCTGTGAAACGAAATGTGTTATAATCATCATCTGGATATTTTCAAGGATCTAATGAATTATTATTGAATAATTGGATGTCGTGGTGGCTCGGAGGTTTAAGACGACCGCTTCTTTTGCCTGAGGGTGCGAAACCTACCAACGACAAGTACAAACGTGACTTTTTCCGAAGTTATATATGTATTTGTACTTTCTAAGATTATCTAGACACCACTGGCAAACGATGAAGAAAAACATCGTGAGGAAACCTGGGCTTATAATTCCTTATTATAAGTTTGAAATCGCCAACCCGCATTGAGCAAGAGTGATGATTAATGTTCAAACCTTCTCCGTGTGAGAAGAGGCTTTGCACAGCAGTGGGCATTTATAGGCTGTTGATGATGATTAAATAATTTGCTAATAGGCATGTTCCGTCGTAGGCCGCATCGTCGTTTTCCACCAGGCGAGATAGACACCAAAAGCCATTATGAATAAAAAAAATTGTGCGTGGCAGTAAACTGCTGGAATGTGTAGGTCTTTTCTACGTACGATTAAATGATGCGATTTCGTCGGACGAAGAGATTTTTTTTTAAATACTTTGTCCCACCCTAGGATTATCTCCTGTGTCGTGTTACAAGTTACATACAAGTTCACATTCACATGACACCCAGACCCGGAACAACAATTTGTGTATCACACAAAAAGTTGCTCCGTGCGGGAATCGAACCCGTGACATGTTGCCGGTTGCCCAGCCACCGCTTCAACCGTGCTGTCAAGACCGTAACCGTGTGTTATAAATCTTATAAATCTCACTATAATCAGTCCATCCGTTCTCGAGTTACAAACTCATTAACTACCATGAGTTTGTTTTGAATACATAAGATTATATAAACAAACAAGTCTAAAGGCCCTTGACCCCGAGGTCAACGACCCTTCTAACTATGCAGTTCATCACGGTACATAAATTACGACATAATTATGTATACAGCTTGTTTAGCGAAAATGGGGTCTATTTCAAATGGCTTAAGTAATAAAATTGAATGGCTGCAAATAATGTTTTCTATGGGTTGCTCCAAGCTGGTTGAAAATGTATGTTAGACTGAAATCTTATACTAACATAATTATAAAGCTAAATAGTTTGTTTGTTTTAACGCACTAATCTCTGTAACTCCTGGTCCGAATTGAATAATTACTTTTATGCTAGATAGTCCATTTCTCGAAGAAGGTCATAGGATATAAAACCTCACGCCAAGATTAATAGGAGCCTAGCAGCGCGGGTGAAACCGCATAGTAACTAATATATATTTTTTAATGGAATCGGAGGCAAACGAGCCAACGGATCACCTGATGGTAAGCGATCAGCGCAGCCCATGGACACCCGCAACACCAGCGGAGTCACAGGTGCGTCACGACCCCTTTTGCGCTGCGACGTACCATAGGCTTTTTTGTGTGTTCCTATTTAGGAATTTTCTTGTTGTGTGTCGTAGCAAAATAAATGGTATTTCTTTCGTTTTTCCTTTCGTTGCCGGCCTTTTAAAAAGGAATACGCTCCTTTCTTGAAGGTTTTTCTTATTAATTAATATAACGTTAGAGTATATTTGGAGGGGTAAGTAGGAGTCTATTGTGTTCCGTATGTGTAAGAATTCCATGTTAAAGGTCTGATCATCACCATCATCAGTCCTTTTCGTCTTCGAAAACCGACGTGAAACAACGTTTCATCGTATGACTGGTTTGCCCAATCTTCGATTCTTCTGAACAATCCTAAAATTCCTAATCCCCAAAAGGATGGCAACACACTTGTAATGCCTCTGGTGTTTTGGGTGTCTATAGGCAATGATGCCGATTCCAATTGCTTACAATTAGGTGATCCGTATACTCGTTCACCAGCTTATCAAATAAAAATATGTCGCGGAGAACCTAACGGGTTACCAGGGCTCCGGCTCGATGTGCAGGAGAAGGAACGGGGTGGTTTTTAGTCAGTAAGAGTCTGACACTCCCTTCCGGAGCAGTCATTCGATGATTTACCCCCCTTAAAAAAATATACCTAAATACTTTAAACTAATAAACGAAAACTACTCAAAATTGGTCAATTTAGTAAACAACACTAGATAAGTATTTCAAAATGACAAAATAATTTCCTTACCCGACTGTACTTTATGTTAATGACTATCATTATGTAATAAGAGAAAACTGGCCTCGTATTGGTCGCTTACATATAAGGTTCTGTAGGCATCAAAAACCAAATGTTTAAAAAAAATACATATTATGATTGTGAGATTTGTTATTTATTCTATTGGTATACATTGCCTATTTATAAAGGTTTAAATCACCTGCTACTTTCATCTCTGCGCTGCTTATAAATAAATAATAAAGGTTAAGTGTTTTTTGGAGGGGTAAATAATATCATCCAATGACTTCACGGACTGCCTCGTTGGGCGAGTGGTCGCAAGTGCGACTGCCGGGCAAGGGGTTTCGGGTTCGATTGCCGGGTCGGGCAAAGTATTACTGAGTTTAAAAAAAGTTAAAAACCATCCCGTTCCTACTTCCACTTCGAGCGTATGGCACGTCGCGTTCCGCACGCGCCTCAAAGAGCTATCAGACTACCACGGATGGGGCCCAATAAGGCTGATGCCGATACGGAGCCGCGGAGAACTTAACGGGTTACCGGGGCTCCGGCTCGAAGTACAGGAGTAGGAACGGGGTGGTTGTTAGTCAGTAAGAGTCTGAAACTCCCTCCCGCCTCACTCAGGCGGGAGAAGTAATTCGATGATTTTCCCCCCTTAAAAAAACCCATATCTTGATAGCTGAATTTTTATTTTGGATCTAACTTTTTAACATAGCCTGAAGTGTAAAAAAAATACAGAACTCCATTTAGGTAATAATGTAAGGTTAATCACTATAGATCATTGACTGTCATTATCAATAATGATTATAATGATTTGTTTACGTTTCCGTGTTTCTAACTCAAACCTTAAGTAGTAATTTACTACAATTATTGAAATTATGTCCAAAAATGTAAGTCACATACAATACTTGAAGAAAATCACATTTGTCACCTCTAACTTGCATAACATCACGCCTTTTATGCCCGTAGGGGTAGGCAGAGGTGCACATTGTGCCAGTGTACAATGTAACACCCACTTTTCACTATTTATGTTGAGTCCTATGTAATAGGGGGTGAGCCTATTGCCATATTCCGGGCACAATTCCAGACTCCGTGCTACTACTGAGATTTTTTTTTAAATCCAGTAATACTTTGCCCGACCCGGGAATCGAACCCGAGACCCCTTGCCCAGCAATCGCACGTGCGATCGCTCGCCCAACGAGGCAGTCATCATATTATTATCATATCAATCAGTATCTCTAACTTGTTGGGTGATCTGCACGGCTGACGTAATGGTTGGATGACCAGCTGCTGTGCAACGTGGAGCGGATTCGATTCCCGTGCTGTCCAAAAAGTGACAATAGCATTCTATGAGTAAAATGACAATTAATAGCCCGAAGTCAGAAAGGCATTACTTTCAAGAGTCGATCGAGCGGCTGCACTGAGACTTAGTTAATTTTTTATACGGAATGTTTTTGGTTAGATTTTGAAAGTTGCTGAATACCTCTAGCCTAGGAGATCTGCAATTAAGGTTTCTGCGAAAATTTCGCTATGGGTATTTTACGGTGATTGTCTAGTTTTGGTTGAATGGTTATGCGCGACTTATCTTCGACAATTATTTTTGGATTTTTACAACTTTCAAAACTATTATGGCAAGAATTTTAGATGGTGATTCGTGGTTGCGTGAAAATGTGCGTCTTTAATTAACTACATGAAGATGTTTTGATAAATACTGTAGAGACATATGTCCGGTAGTGGACAGAAAGTGGCGAATAATGATGACGATGACATCTTTTTAATGGAACATAACATAATATCACGCCTTTTATCCCCGAAGGGGTAGGCAGAGATGCACATTATATAAAAGTGGGTGTTACATTGTACAGTGTACAATGTAACACCCACTTTTCACTATTTATGTTATGAGTCCCATGTAATAGGGGGTGAGCCTAATGCCATATACCGGGCATAGTTTTAGACTCCGTGCTACTATTGAGATTTTTTTTAAAACCCAGTAATATTTTGCCCGACCTGGGAATCGAACCCGAGAGCCATTGCCCGGTCAGGCCCATAGGCCTAGTCTCACTTGCGACCACTCGGTCAACTCTTTTAAATGGAAGTCTTAACATAATCGACTCCTACCTCCTTTAAAGAAAAGTGTGACATTAAGTGCAATGACATTTCAGTCCAAATACTACCTAAAACCTTCTAGCATTAGGATTAAAATTCAAGTAAGCACTCTTAAAGGTAGGCCAAGATACCGCGTCAAAGTATCTACCTATGACATTTCACGAACCAGTTTAAACTGGCTCGCACCGGTTGAAACCAGTTTCCATCTTAGGTCAGGTGAGTAAAAGTAAGTGTAGCAAATCGCAAATACAAAATATGCACATTGTAATAATGTGATAAAGTGAATAAATACAAAACAAGACGTTATTTTAACGTGGGATATCCATGCTTCGACACGAATTGGGCGGCTCGACCGGAGTGATACCACGGCTTCATATACACATCGGCGTGCAACAACGCTTGTGTTGTGTGTCGCTGTGGGAGTGAGGTTACCGGAGGCTCAATCCTCTTCCCCATCGCCAATCCCCAGATACCAAAATCCCCAAAGGTTGGTACTGAAAATCCCAGCCCTGGCTTCGCTGAGGGACTTTAGGGTACACGATAAGAGTGACCCAAGTCTATCAGGGGTTTTCAGCAGGCACTACAAGAAGGTAAGTACTTAGAGAACACAACAGCTCTTTCAACAATACCCAGGAAGAGTATTGTAGAAGGAGACTGTACCTCTTTCTCTTCACTTCACAAGCAAAAATTGTGCTCTTTCCAATACTAATAACTCTTTGAATAAATCAGGCATTAATCCCTAAAGGTACTGCTAATTTCAAGTACGAAAGCATGCTTCAATTAAGCACTT